TCCTTCAGGAACTTCAAAAGAAATGCGAAGCTGTCATCAATCTCATGTACCTAAAGGCCTTTAATAAATTAAACCTCTTCAGCCACTTTAGTAGCACAGAGCAACCAGAATAGAAATATTCTAGCCTCAGTGCTGCCTCCAAAAATTAAAATGATGGTCTTCCATGTTCCATAGCCCAGAATGTTTAATGCAATAGCGTGGTGTTGTTTCAAAATTGATGTTAGTCCATTTATATTGCATCCAGCACCAGGTAAAATATATTTGTTTTGCTTCAGGGAAAGTGCATTTGATAACATTTTAGTGAAATGGATGATCTACAGTTCTGCAAAGATGATTTGTCAGGATGAAGGGGCCCTGCTAGAGGAGCCATGGTACAACTCAGGGAGAAGTTCTGGACATTAGAGCAACACCGTAAAGTTTCAGCAACACAAGATTCCCCACACATGAAACTCTCAATGTCAGTTCTGCTCTTCTGGTGAGAAGAAGGGATGAGCTATGGGTAAATCTTAACAATTATCATGCACATCTTCCAGTGTTTCATGCACAAGTAATGTTAGAACTCAGCTTAGAGACAGGGAGTTTAAAAAAAAGGAGGGATAAATGACCTCCAAAATCTGATAGACTTCTGCTTTTATCTACAAATGTGCCTTAAAGTTTTTGTCTTGTAGAGGTGTCCATGTCGCGATATCTTGGACATCAGCCAGTCTTGCAGGAGCAGTAGGGAGGCCTAGTGGTATTATCACTGGCCTGTTAATCCAGAGACCCAGAGGTAATGTTCTGAGGGGCCCCAGTTCAAATCCTGCCATGGAGATGGCGGAATATGAATTCAATAAAAATCTGGAAATAACAGTCTAATGAAACCTTTTGATTGTTGGGAAAAAACCCATCTGGTTCAGTTAACGTCCCTTTCGGGAAGGAACTCACCATCTTTAGCTGGTGTGGATTGCGTGTGACTCCAGACCCACAGCAATGTGGTTGACATTTAATTGCCCTCTGATCTAGCCAATGATGCATTCATCCTATGAGTGAATTTAAGAAAAGCTATGAGTTCAATGTTGGCAGGTCATATGCTGAATTCATTGCTTTGCACTCCTGTCCAACTGGAAATGAGTTTGTAGCATCCCAAAGAACAGGGCATCGAGGATTTTACACTTTAGGATTGCTTCAACTGGGTGGATTATTTTTTAATCTCATTCCCAGGTATCCAATACTTTTGGGTTAAATGGAATTGAATGCAACTTGCAGCAAGAAGACAGGCGATTATTACTGTACATGACCTCCCATTTGCATTTCTATTGCAATGACCTCACATTCTTTCTTCTGTCATGTACTTATGAAGCTTCCCCTTAGATGTATCAGGTTAGCTGGACCTTGTGGGATTACTCTCCAGAGTTTGTCACTGCCATTAGCACCCAGGACAGTGTGACATTGGGAGGGCAGGAGGCTCTTCTTCAAGTTGTTGAATTACTATCAATTGTAGAATCCTTACAGTGTGGAAAGGGGCCATTCAACTCACCAAGTCTGCACTGACCTGCCAACGAGTGTCCCACCCAAACCCATGCCCCCACACTTACCATGGCTAATCCACACAGTTTACTTTTCTCTGGACACTACAGACAATTTTGCATGGCCAATCCACCTAATCTGCACAGCTTTGAACTATGGGAAGAAACCAGAGCACCCAGAGGACACCCGCACAGACGCAGGGAGAATGTACAAACTCCACACAGACAGTTGCGCAAGGGTGGAATCGAACCCAGGTGCTTGGCAGTATGAGGGAGCAGTGCTAACCACTGAGCCACTGTCACCCTGAAGGGCTGAACGGTGGTCTGTGCATGTTCATTGACTGGCAAAAACATTAAAGCTGTCAGAATCTTTTCTGCGTGTGCCTTTTAATGATAAAGTGAGGGCACCTCTTCACACAACACTGCAGCTCGGGTTATTGCTGACAATGAACAAAGCTCCCGTCCCATGAAAGAGATTGTTTTGACTGATATTTTTCTTCCTTTGGCATATAATCCCTGATCAACATTTGTGGCCTCTACGCAGGGAGTCAATTAAAACCCATGCAAACATAATAGCAGTTTGACCCCGATTAAGGCAGAATTTATTCTTGCTCGAGTCACTGCCTCTGATGAGGAAAAGGAAACAATTACAGTTGCCTGCTGCTCTGAAGATTTTTTATTTGCAAGCAAGCAAAACGTTGCCATTGCCATAAATCCGGTGCTGATGCTTTCTCGCGAGGGAGCACAAAATTCCTGCCCATCATAAATTGTTGCTGCAAGAACAGGGAACTCAGTAACATCAAAGCTGGAGAGAAATTCAGCTCATCGACCCTTTTCAAAAGAACAGAAAGCAGGACAGGCATAAGAGTAGCACGGTAATAAACTTTAAGGCAGATTTTGATTTTTTGTTTTTACAACCTTGAATGATTGAAGGCCAAACTGCTTTCAAACAATATTACAAAGCGGCAGTGCATAAAATTCTTAATAGAAGAAATTAATTTATTGCAATTAAAATGAAATCAATGGAACAGAAAGTAGTAAAGTGTCCCATCAACAGCTGAATCAGTTGGAGTATTGTATGAAAAAAAGCTTAACTTTTGAATATTCTTCATTTGAGTTGGTCTGTTAGTTTTTTTCCTGTCCTGCCTTCATATGAGCGTGCAGCTAGAGTGTAGAGGGGAGGTGAGATGCAATAAAAAAGAGGTCAGGTTGGTGGAATGGAGGATGGTTGTGGGAGAACAGAGTTGGGGGCAGAATGGAGATCAAGAGCTAGGACTGCTGGTTCCTGCTAATTCTGCAACTCATTTGAAAAGAGTCACTTATGACCCTTCCTTTGTGTGTTCAGTCTGGTTCAATGGCAAATGATCATGGTTGGTTTGTATTCAGGGTCAAGAAAAGTATCATTGATGCCTGAAGCAGAGTTATTTCTAAAGCACCAACTGGTGTTGTATAGTTCCTGGAGAGCAGCATGGTACATTTACAAAAATCAGGTAAGTAATCGCAAATAACTGGGGAATCATACATAACTCATGAAATAAATTAGCAGATGTAGATTTGAAATTTTCCTTGTCCTTCATTTTTGTGCTGTCCCTTGTGACATGAGAAGTGAAATGATGGCCCCAGATGTTGTTGGAATAGACATCTCACATTGTGGCATCTTAGGCATACTTTTTTATCCTCACTCTTTAACGTAAAATGACCTATGCCCTTTAATTTGCTGAGGGAGCCAAGCAATAAGTGCCACAGTGAAGTCCATGGTGCACCTGGGATCAGGGTTCTGTATTGAAGGATTATGAAAGAAACTGGGATGAAAGAGTTACAGTATGAGCAAATGTCAATCAGGTTTGGCCTGTATCTATTGGAGTTTAGGAAGATGCGAGGCAATCTTGGTGAGACTTAGAAAGTCCAGAGGGGACTTGACAGGACGGATGCCACGAGGACATTTCCCCCTTTTTGGAAGACTACAACGAGGGGACACAGTTTAACGATAAGAGGTTTCCCACTTGAGATTTGATTTGATTTATTGTTGTCACATGTACCAAGATACAGTGCAAATTGTTGTTGTGCCATACTAAGCGCAGCAGGGTAGCAGAACAGACTACACAATACAGTGTTACAGCTGCAGAGAATGTGCATAGAGAGAGATCAACATTAACATTTGAGAGGTCTGTTCAAAAGTCTGATAACAGCAGGGAAGAAGATGAGGAGATTATTTTTCTTCAAAAGTTTGTTAGACTGTAAAATTCTCTTCTTCAGAAAGTGGAGGGTGGAGGCGATGGGGGAAAGGATGTGACTGAGTATTACTGAATATTTTTAAGGCTGTGTTAGGTAGTTGCTTGATGGACAAGTGAGTCAAAGGGTATCAAAGGTAAACTGTAAATTGCAGTTGAAGCTGCAATCAGATCAAACACAATTTTTTCGAATGGCATAGTGCATCTAGAAGCCAAATGGCTTACTCCTGCTTATATGTTACATGTTCATAAACTGAGGATTGGGAGAGAAAGCATGATAATGCATTTAAATCAAATCAGCTGTATCAAAAGCAGTAGAGAGGGAAATTAATATGAGATTTATAAAAGACACAGATAAAAGAGACAGGAAAGCTAAGAGAAAGTGTTTCAAAAGCTATACTTTAAAATGCTCTTCGGAATAATTTCCCTCTTGCAGGAATATTATTCCATTGTCTATTTTCTAGGCAGGAGACGGTGTATTGAGGTAACCTTATGAAACGAAGAGGGAGTTTAACCAATGAGTTGCCATTTAGCTGAGGAACTTGTGATGACTCACAACTCACTGGGAATCTGTTCCTCATCACAAATTGCAACAATCAATGATAGCTGTCACAGTTACCATTACTGCAACTAAATTCATTAACTGACCTCAAATTCAACCATGTTGCCGTGTTGATATTTTAACGCTGACCCCCCAGGGCATTAACCTGGGCCTCTGAATTACTGACTTTGTGATATTACCATGAAATCAACAACCAAACTGGGAACAAGTGTTTTCATCCAGGAACCATGCGAGTGCTTCTGCTCGTAAACGAAAACAAGAGTTGCTGGAAAAACTCAGCAGGTCTGGAAGCATCTGTGGAGAGAAATCAGAGTTAACGTTTCAGGTTGAGTGACCCTTCTCAGAACTGATTGAGTCTTTCTGCTGATGATGGAGACAAGAAAGTTAATAAAATATTTCTCAAACTCATGTGACACTAGTGTTGGCATAAGCTTCATCATGCACCATTCTGTTATTTTCACCTGGGGGAGGGGAAGGTTTGGGTTAGGGTCAGTGAGTGGGGATAATGAGCTGAATTCACTTCATTTTGGATACCATTAGAGAGAGAACTAGGGTTATCACTGATTCCAATCAGCCATGTTGGCTTAGAACACAGAACAAAGATGAGATCTAACTCAACATGAGCTTTTGACTCAATCTCTTCCCATTTTGTTCCAATATTTCCCCCATTTCAAGATAATGCACAGATTAAAGACTGCAGGCTTACACTGTGTCATTTATTGACTTTTTTTCTTAATTTGTCAAGAGAACGAATCATCAGAAAAGTTGAAAGCTCTGTAAGCTTTTCCAATGCAAGTTACATCTTTCCCTGATACATCAATTTTGCCAAGATAATTCACACTTGAAGTGCCTCATTCATTTGCATTTTTAATTGGAAACATCTGTTCCTTTATTCCTTTTATTCATTTTTTTCTCTTCTTCCCTCTCATCCATCTTCAAATTACCTCTTGACACATTGAGTGCAAAAGGCATTATATCATGGAAGCTGTTGATAAGGAGGGAGTGGACATCTCATAGAGTGAATGGTAGGAAAGCGCAGGAAGCTAAGGGGAATTTGATAGAGGTGTTTAAGATTATTGATCAGTCATGATAGGAGTAAATAAAGAGGACTTATTTTGAGCGGCAGAAAGGGCAGAAACCAGAGCACGCATGAGTGATTGGCAAGAGAACTAGAGGCGTCAAAGAAAGAGGGGTTCTATTTGTGTTCCTTTAAGGAATATGGGCATCAGTGGCCAGGCCAACATTCATTACTTGATCCTAGTTCCCCCTGAGAAGATGGTGATGAGCTACCTTCTTGAACCACTGCAGTCCATGGGGGAGGGGCGGTAGACCAATGATGCTGTTAGGAAATTTGATCCAACAGGAATGAGGAATAGTGATATCCTTCCAAGTCAGGAAGGTGTGTGATTTAGAAGGTAACCTGGAGATTTTACCATGTATAATTATGAGCAAGGATGCAACCTAAGAAGATGGTGGCACCAGATTTAATAACATCTTTCAAAGGGCAAGTGAATAAGTACTTCTAGTAGTTAGGCCACTTGTGGAATACTGTATTCAATTCTGGTCTCTATGCAATAGGAAGGATGTTGTGAAACTCAAAAGGATTCAGAAAATATTTACAAGGCTGTTCCCAGAGTTGGAGGGTTTGGGCTATAGGGAGAGGGTGAATAGACTGGGGCTATTTTCCCTGGAGTATTGGAGGCTGAGGGGTGACCTTATAGAGGTTTATAAAATCATGAGGGGCATGGATAGGGTAAATAGTTACGGTCTTTTTCCAAGGGTAGGGGAGCCCAAAACTAGAGGGCATAGGGTTTAAGATGAGAGGGGCAACTTTTTCACACAGCGGGTGCTGCATGTATGGAATGAGCTGCCAGAGAAAGTGGTGTAGGCAGGTACAATTACAACATTTATCAAGCATCTGGATGGGTACAAGAATAGGAAATGTTTAGAGGGATATGGGCCAAATGCTGGCAAATGGGACTAGATTAATTTAGGATATCTGGTCAGCATGGATGAGTTGGATTGAAGAGTCTGTTTCAATGCTGTACATGCCTATGACTTCTATGATTCCATAATTTCCAGAAGAATGGTGAAAGTACATGAAATAAGGACATCACTGGATATATCTTTCAAAGAGCAGGTACAGGGGATGGGCCCAATGGTCTCCTGTATCATTTTAAGATTCTACAAGAAAAGAGAAAGATCTTGCAAGTTAAGTTTGCCTGATGGTATTTTTCTTGCTGCTGCTCAGCCCTCATCAATCTCCTCTGATGCTGTATGTTTCAATTTTGGCTCGGTGATGGACAAATCTCCTGGCAAAGGAAAGGAAATAAGCAACATAAGTTTGCAAAGTGAACGTCCCCGAAGTTTATCTCAGCCACACAAATTGAAATTGTTTAATAATAGATTTAGTGAGCGATAATGTTTTATTCAAGGTTTGGAGCTGTGGTCCCTTTCTGCAGATAAGCTATGTTAGAAAAGCCAGTGAAAGTGAAACACTGGAACAGAAAACTCACATGGACTTCTCAAACTATGCCTGAGATATCACTACACAAGCATAACAGAAATAGTCTATATCTGACCGGAGAAACCTCCTAGAATTGCAAAATGTAACTTAAATAAAAAATGAATTTCCTTAGTCTCATAATGGGTGGACTAGTGATGGAAAAAATACCCCTTGAAATATTTATCTCAACTTTCTTCACTTTCACCTCAGTGTTTAGCACTGTCGCCTCACAGCAACAGGGACCTGGGTTTGATTCCACCTTCAGGCGACTGTCTGTGTGGAGTTTGCACATTGTCCCTGTGTCTGTGTGGATTTCCTCCGGGTGCTCTGATTTTCTCCCACAGTCCTAGGAAGGTGCAGACTCGATGGGCTGAATGACCTGCTTCCACACCATAGGGATTCTATGATGATTAACTAACCAGTTCGTTAAGAGGGTTACTGGACTTGAAATGTTATCTATTCCTTTTCTCTAGTGATACTGCCAGATTTACTGAGTTTCTCCAGCAATTACTGTTTTTGTTTCAGTTTCATTGGTTGCCAGTATCAAGAGCCATTCTTTTGAAAAGTTTCTGGAAACAAAAGCTTGTGTTCTCTTATTTAGTTTGCAATAAATGCCAATTCATTGCAGATCAGGAGTGAACTCTGTGCCTGCTTATATCACATTTTATTTCCATATTGTAAGTCTCATATGCATCTCAAGGCTACAGTTCATTTTGAGTGGCCAGATGACACTTATAAATGCTTCTCATGCTCTAAACCTCTCAATAGTTTATATTACATTTAAGAATGTAAGAAATTGGACATAGGAATGCCTCTGCCATCTATCTTGCTGATACAAATAGCTCCAATCACCTATTCCTTCAAATATCTCTTCAAATCTCCCCTGAATGTTTTCACTAAATCTGTCATCTGTGGGCAGGTCATTGTACATTTTCAGCATGTAAGCTAACTAATATGGCTGTGGCCTTTTGCTATTCTAAAGTTTGAACTCATAACCCAACTTCCAGATTGCGTAGCAACTGGAAGTAGGCTCAGTGTATCTGTGTTCACTTAAGAACACATTAGGTTCAGTAAAAACCGAAAGAACTGCAGATGCTGGAAATCAGAAGCAAAAACAGAAATTGCTGGAAAAGCTCAGCAGGTCTGGCAATATCTGTGGAGGGAAATCAGACTGAACGTTTTGGGTCCGGTGACCCTTTCTCAGAACTGAAAGAGTGAATTCTAAGGAAGGGTCACCAGAACCGAAACATTAACTCTGATTTCTCTCCACAAATGCTGCCAGAGCAGCTGAACTTTTCCAGCAATTTCTGTTTTTGTTTTGGATTCAGTAAATGTGTGTGCAAGTACTTACTTGTCATTCCATGTGTTTTACCTTCAAACTTGGATGTTTGTGAGTGTACACTGAGTTCGGTAGTTTCACAATCCTTTTACTTTTTACTATAGATGTTTATACTTAACACCATTGTCCTAACCACTGCAGTCACTGGGTAAGATACAGCAAACATTAGAAACGTAGCTTGATGAGAGCCTATGTTTATTCAGTTGCATTTAAAAATACAAGCTTGGCAGGTTATTAAAGGCAGGGGATTTCTGAAAAAATGAGAGCTGGAATGAGCAAATGTGGCTAAGGAATAGTCTGTCACATCCTTGGGGATGCAAAAATAGGGAGGATAAACCAAGATCTGAGGAAAAATGAATCAGGCAAGCCACCTAATCTCACATTATTTTTACGCCCTGTGATTCATTGAGTATGTCAGGTGATGTGCTATTGGCCAACAGAATGAAAGGTCACAAGATGAGACTCACTACAAATAGACTGCTCAATCATGATTTCTCAAATATTGCATTTAATAGAAGGGCAAAGGTCATTAAGCATTGAAGAAATAAAGGCATCACAGGTGATGGAAAAAAAAAGACCTCAGATGTTCTTGATAAATGAACGTGAAGCTGAACACAAGTCGAAGAAATGGCAAAAGCCAACATAATTCAACATACCTTCAAACATTCCTGACCAACTCAATAACAAAGCTTAAGGGAATTGCTCCTGTGTCAGTCAAACCGTATAAATAAAAAATATGTTCCAATTATAAGAGAAGGTTTTATTTTATTTTATATATATATATGTCATGCCCTTCAAAATGAAGGATGTCAGTGCTAGGAAATTAAATATTTTTTTCTACTTTGTGCCCTTGGAGACATCATCAAGTGCTTAGACCTGCCCCTATTTAAGATAGCCCTTACTATTGTATTAGTTACATGTGAAGTGGAGGCACGTCAAACATACTTCAAGAAGTTGCACTGCTCACTTCTTACAAGAGAGCTCCCATGGTGCTTATTTGATGCAATTCATTCCCTGGACCAGGATTCGTGGGATCTCTCTCGATTAAATTGGTAATCAATGACATATGAAGGGTAGCTTTGTGCCAATATTTTGGATGAGCTACTAATCCACTGCTCTATATCGTCTCTTAGGTTATTCCTGAAAGATCTCCAGGTGACCAATCTGAAGATGAGCAAGGGAGTTCTGCCACTGCCTTGGCCTATATTTATCCCTCTATCAACTGCTTAGGCAGCACGGTGACTCAGGGGTTAGCACTACTGCACTCGAGCAACTGCCTGTGTGGAGTTTGCACAATCTCTCCATGTCTGCCTGGGTTTCGTCTGGGTGCTCTAGTTTCCTCCCATGGTCCAAAGATGTGTAGGCTATGTAGATTTTCCATTCTCAATTTCCCATGGTGCCCAGGGTTGTGTAAGTTAGGTGGGGTTGGCCATGGGGAAATGTGGGGTTTCAGGGAAAGGTTGGGAGTGGGGTTGGGATGCTCTTCAGAGGGTCGGTGTGGACTCAATGAGCCAAGAGGCCTGCTTCCACACTGTACAGTTTCTATGATCTGGAATTAGTTTGAAATTGTTTGTGGGATCTTGCTGTTTGTACAATTAGCTGCTCTGTCCTTTTACAGTGACAAAATGTCACTGGCTGCCAACCATACGGGGACAGCCTGAGGTTATGTAAGGTGCTACATAAATGCATGTTCATAACAATGTCTTTATAATTAGTTGCATGTTGTTGATGTTCCATTGCTCAATGTTTCTGATGGTTGCACTTTGTTTCAGAACTGTTAATTACGGAAAATACTTTGGAATAGCTGATGGTGTAGTATTGGCAAAGCCAAACAAATGGTCAATTTACTGCAAAGGGTAATAGGCTGGATTTTGGTAAAGTGTATGAAAGCAGTGAATAAAAGTGGGATTTCAGAGTAACGGAGAGGCACAGGTCGGAATCTAACAGTGGAATGAACTCCCCTACAATAAAAGAGGCCTATTTTGGTTTTGGAAAATCCATATTCCAGGGCTTGATGTCTCTCTCTTCTGTTCATTTTCTCCCATATTCACTTGGCCCTCCCTAAGTTGCTGTATAATTACAGGTACGAGTTGCATTATCCTGTCTAGAGAAACCTTTCCATGTTGGGCTTGAACAAAGTCGACAATAAATTTCATTTAGGGTCATAACTGATGCAATCTTGTGCAAGGTCATAGAGTAATTTGGGGATAGGGCAGGAAAGTAGAGTTGATACAGATGTTTGTGTTGAATAGCTGAGTAGGCTCAAGGGACTGTATGACTTGCTCCTTGTTTTTCTTTCGTGATATTAATACATACTACCTGTAGAGGTACTATCAGTTCTGAAGAAGGGTCACTGGACCTGAAACACTAATTCTGCTTTCTCTCTCAGCTTTCTCAGACCTGCTGAGTTTTCCCAGCAATTTCTGTTTTTGTTTCAGATTCCCAGCGTCTTGCATCATAGAACCCCTACTGTGTGGAAGCAGGCCATTCAGCCCATTGAGTCCACACCTCCCTATCGAAGAGCATCCCACGCAGACCCACTCTCTACCCTATCCCTGCATTCTCTCATAGCTAATCCACCCAGCCTGCACATCTTTGGACTGTGGGAGGTAACTGGAGCACCCGGAGGAAACCCATGCAGACACGGGGAGAATGTGCAAACTCCACATGAACAGTTGCCTGAGGGTGGAATCAAACCCAGGTTCCTGGCGCTGTCAGGCAATAGTGCTAACCACTGAGCCACCATGCCATGCTATTTATTTACCTGCAGAGAGGTTGGTTAGCTTGGATGACTATGTTGTGGTGCAGAATCAAGCCAACAGTGCAGGTTTATTCCTTGTACCTGCTGCGGGAAGCTTGCCTCCTCATTTTACCTCATGCTTGAGGAGTGATTACCATCAAGCTATACATTACCAGTTTGGCTGTCTCGACTGGAGAGAGATGTCGATGGTCCTTTGTGGAAAACAGTTCCATTTGTATATGTCCATCTTGCTTATAATGATTGAAATAATTCTCAAGGTTACCTTTTTGCGTTAATTTGTAAACGTTGGTTCACATTGATCCAAATCTCATTTCCCGCATAAACTTGCGATGAAGGTCACTTCCAAACCTTAATGCCTGAAAACGACAAAGGTAAACAACATTGCAACCTCATTTCACAACTCTGAAACACACCATTGATAGAATTGCAGCTTGGAGTGGCTGGAGGCATTTTGTTATTGCACTCTTTATCACAATGTTATTAAAAGGGAGAGCTCAAAATCTGCTAGAGCTCATCTGGTGGGATTTGACAAAAAGATATTTACAGAATTGCACCCTGATGAGCACTGGCTTACTTCAGTTGAATGTGAGCTGCAGGCTTCTGAGGATCTATGACATATAACAATATATCCAGAGGTATCAGAGGCCTAGGCTTTTGAGAGAAAAGGAGCTTGAATCAAAATTTATTTTCAATATTGGAAAAGACAATGTTGAATACAAGGCATTGAAGCTTGACTGAACTTGAGTGTCCTGGTACGGGTCAAGTAAAAATCTACCTGTTCAGGTTGGACAACAGAGGAGTTTACACATTCACAGGTTCATTTTGAATAATTATTGCTCACAACTTACACAGAAGCCATCAGCTCCATTAAAGAATTTCACCGTGATTGGAACAGGCAGATTTTTTACTTTAATGCAGTGTTCAAATCTCAAGGGATAAACAATAAAATTGAAAAAAAAATTAGGGAATTTGCTTAAATCTGCTTCACCCAAAGGATAATACAATTGTGAAACCAGTTAGCAGGAAAGTTATTAAAATTAACACAATAAATGGATGCAGAGGTAATTGGATGCATTTTTTGGAAAGGACAGGGATTGAAGGATATGATGAAAAGGCAATCATCTGGAATCGGTTGTTCAAAACAAAAATAAAAGTGAGCAGGTTTGCTTGCCCTAATGTGCTTTTCCCATTTGTTAAACATGTGCAGATTCTGTGTTCTAATGAACGGGAAGTTGTTCCATGCTTTCCAGCTTTGGTTTTCGCTTTTTTTCTAAAACACGCAAAAACATATGATACCATCGATTAGTACTCTATACAGTCATAGAGTCATAGAGCAAAAAAGCACAGGTACAGACCCTTCGGTCCAACTCGTCCATGCTGAACAGATATCCTAGATAAACCTAGTCCCATTTGCTGGCATTTGGCCCATATCCCTCTAAAGCCTTCCTATTCATGTACCCATCCAGATGTCTTTTAAATGTTGTAATTGTATCAGCCTCCACCACTTCTTCTGGCAGCTCATTCCATACACACACCATCCTCTGCGTGAAAAAGTTGCCCCTTAGGTCCCTTTTATATCTTTCCCCTCTCACCTTAAACCTATGCCGTCTACTTTTCCCCCACCCTGGGGAAAAGACCTTGCCTGTTTACCCTATCCTACAAATGATATTTTTAAAAAATCAAATGATGTATGAAGGGTCTGGGGTTAGATGTAGTTCATTTGCCTTGCCTACTGCCAACCAGTGTCATTAGCTCTGTGATATCCTCCAGTCTTCCTGTGGATCCTCCTGGCTGTCATGTTGGATGTGCTTCAGTGTTCCTTGAGTATGTTAAGATCAAGTGAAATTGCCCATACTGATGCAGTGGTGCTTCTCGGGGGTACAGCTGAACTTTAAATAGATGACTCAAATTCCTGCCCACAGGGTTAGATTATATAAAAATAGGCAGTGCTCGCTACTATGCTTGGCCCTTTGAACAAACGAAAAGGTAAGGAACAGAGCCAAACAGATTCATAAGGTCCAAATTTCAATGATCTCTGCAAATAGAGGTGGATATCTTGGTTCATAAAAGAGAAAAAACAATTAATGCAGGATTCCCATCCCATTGTCTTCAGTTGGAAAGTACATGAACGCATGTGTTGGCTGGGAAGTGTATTGGGCTCAGATACAATGCCCTTTCATAGAATCCCTTTGGAAGCAGGCCATTCAGCCCATCACATCCACATTGACCCTCCGAAAAGTATTCCACCCAAACCCACACCCCTACCTTATCCTTGCAACGCTGCATTTCCCATTGGCTAATCCACTTATCATGCCCATCCCTGGACACTACAGGGCATTTTAGCATGGCCAATCCACCTAACCTGCATGTCTTTGGAGTTGGGGAGGAAGCCGGAGCACCCGGAGGAAACCCACACAGATTCAAAGAGAATGTGTAAACTCCACGCAGACAGTTGCCCGAGGTTGGAATCAAACCCAGGTCCCTGGTGCGGTGAGGCAGAAATGCTAGCCACGAGCCACTTTCAGTAGGACAGTCCACAACCTCACTGTGTAGAAGTGAAAAATAGCCACTTGCTTAGAACATTGCAGCATGTTGCAGCCTTCAGAAGGGAAAGGAAAGGGATGTGGGGCGGAGAGTCATACCGTCAAATGATTTCATGAAAGCGTGACACAAGACTGAAGCATTTGAGGTTTGTAACTTTACTGGAGCAGAAATATTGCATTGAATCTACCCACCCCCCCAAAAAAACAAGTAAGCTGAGGTCACACCAGAGGTCAAATACAGACATCAGAGGAACAGGAACTGAACCTGCATTGAACTTACACACCAGTTTTAACAGAAACCGAACAAAGAATGGGCAATTAATCTACTTGCAGAAAGTAGGTTAGTCATTCAAACATTATAATGAGGCTTCAGTTGCTCTATTTTTAAGCACAGATCGTTGCAACTTGGGCAATTCAGGATGGGCAGTGAATGTGGGACAGCCAGTGTTGCTCACACCCCGTGAATCAACAAAAAAGTAACATAAACAAGGTGAGCAGTGTTGAATCCACCATGTCAGTGCCTTTATAGCACATCTTGTGGGCCAAGAGAAGCAGGAACATTTTGACTAGGTCCAACAAACTACCTAGTAAAACACCCCCAGCCTCTCTTCCCCAACCTAACCTTTAGAACGGAGATAAGGAGAAACTTCTTCAGTCAGGCAATGGTGAATCTATGGAATTCGCTGCCACAGAAGGCTGTGGAGGCCAGATCATTGAGTACATTTAAGACTGAGATACATAGGTTCTTGACTATCGAGGGGATCAAAGGTTACGGGGAGAAAGTGGGAGAATGGGGTTGAGGAACTTATCAGCCATGATTGAATGGCGGAGCAGATCCGATGGGCTGATTGGCCCAATTTCTGCTCCTATGTCATACGGTCTTATAACCCACTGCTGCTCTTCCTGAACTGGGATCCCACCTGCAGGCCTAATTATCCTCCCATGGAATACACATTGGGCCCATAACCTTTGGACTTTTGAAGAATGAGAGGTGATCACCACATTAAAATGTTTAAGATTCTGAAGGGGCTGGAAAGGGTAGACACTGAGAGGTTGTTTCTGCCTCCTTCTGGATTCTAAAACATGGAGACATTACCTCATGATAAGAACTCAATCATTTAGTTTTGAGATGAGGAAAAATGTTTTCATTCAAAGGGTTGTGACTTTATAGAAATGTTTACTTCAGATGGTTGTGAATGCTCCATTTTTGAGTGTATTCAAGGCTCATACAGACTCGATCTCTCAGGAAATCAAGGGATATAGTGGAGGAAAGGGTATTTGAGGTAGAACCTCAGGCATGAATCAGGGTCAAGAAGGCATGTGTTCTAAGTCTGCTTCTTTCTTCTTTTCTTACATTCCATGAGAGTGCATTTTTATTTGACTACACCTTGAGCTGTATCACTTCTAGAAGGCAACATATCAAGAACATAAGAATTCCTACCCGGTGATAAACATAAACTGGAGACTATGAAAGAGGATGAAATATTGGGAATGCTGTCATCGTGGAATGGCATCGTGTGGAAGGAAGTAAATGAGAATTCACAAGAATTCACAATCTACCAGAAGTGCCACAAGCCATCAGAAGACTTAACTGTTCTTTAGTTTGACCTTCTAACTTGAGGCCACTTGGTTTGATATGAAGATTTAGATGCTGAATAGACAATGTTACTGATCCCGACAAATATATTGATACAAAGGGGGGAAAGGAGGCTGTAATTAAGAGATCATCACAGCCAAGATAGATTTTGTGCCACAAAATAGTTTGTTTCCGTCAACTGTGGCACTTCAAAATTCTCGTAAGTGTAAGTGGCAAGCCCTAATAAATTAAGTTGAAATGATTGAGAAGCCTCATATAAAATATTATCAGGACAGTGTGTGAGTCATCTGTTATGGTGGTGTCATCTCTCATCTTTTCTCAATTATTATCTCCTGATGCACAGCACTCTGCCACATGGCGTATGTGCATTTGTGAGGGGGGATTAGAGTTTAGACAGAGAATGACATTTCCTATGATAGATTTCAAAGTTAAAAATAATTGTGTAAGATTGGAACAATTTAATCTATCATACTCAATGGCTGCATATGCATGTCAGAAGTAGTTGAGAGCAACCCTGTGGAATGGTTTGATGACTTTTGGAATAGTTCTGTGATTTTTACAGTGGGGCAATAGAAAACTGTGGGTGACTTGGGCTGGACAGTGGCAGTATTTATGAAGGTATTGTTCATGTTAAAATGGGAATAATTAGAATAAAGAGATGAATTAGGAAGAATAATTCGGTGGAATGCACCGGAACATTCTTGAACCAAATGCAATTGAACGAGCTCAGGCAAATATAAAAGATTCCAGGTATTATTTTAAAGAGGAGCAGAGGATTTCTCCCTTGTGCCCTGTGCAATATTTAGCTCTCAATCATTGTCATGCAAAAAAAGACAAATGATCCAGTCATTACCACTTTGCTACATGTGAGAGCTTGCTACACAAAATTTGACTGCCATGTTTCCTGAACAGTAACAGAACTCAACCACCATCTCCGCTGAAAGATCCACCCCCTTCCCCCCACTCCCAAGCCACTCACCATCCTGATTTGGAAATATATTACCATGCTTTCCGTGTCGCTGGGTCAAATCTTGGCATTTCCTCCCAAATGGCATTGTGGGTGTACCTACACTAAATGAATTGCAGTGGTTCAAGAAGGCAGCTCACCACCACCTTCTCAAGGGCAACTCGGGACAAGCAATAAATGCTGTTCTGGCCAATGATGCTCATGTCCCATGAGTGAATATATAATATATAAAAGAATTACATTCAAAAGGACTTCATTGGCTGTGGATCTCTTCAGCATGTGCTGTTGCTGTGGAAAGTGTTGACTAAATGTGAGTCTTCATCTTTCTAAAAAAGATTTATATTTTCTTCCAAGCTCTTCTTTTTCCTCTTGAAATGTTGCTCATCTTCTTCCTGTTGTAAATTGGATTAAGGAAAAGCAACAGATGAGCTTTAGTTGACAGAATGGGTGGAATGCAACCTCAAGGTACCTTGACAAAAACCGAAAAAAACTGCTGATGCTGTAAATCGGAAACAAAAATATAAATTGCTGGAAAAGCTCAGCAGGTCTGGCAGTATCTGTGGAGAGAAATCAGAGTTAACGTCTCAAGTTGAGTGACCCTTTCTCAGAACATGTTCCCAAGGTGCCTTGGTGGGCAGTTAAGTGCCTGCATGAGTACTTCTAATCCCATACCTGACATTGCATCTTTATATGGTGGCAGGTCACCAAGTCATAAATTTTTGTATCTAATCATATGCAAAAACTGGGGGCTATGGTGATTATTTAAGCTTGCCCCCTCCATCTGGACGAATAACACGGGAATGATGGCCACATATCTGTGACTACCCAAGCTTAGGCAGCAAGGACAGCTGCTGGAAGGCAGCAGGGTCCTATGTTAACTCTGCGCATTGGGCCATATTCTCATGTCATTGGGATGTGACTGCTATTTTTACCTGTGGCTTCTCTACCTTGACAAAAGCTGCAGGGATCTTTATTGTTACAGTTCATGACTACAGTCTTTCCGGCACAATTAGGAACATAGAATCAAACAGCTGACAGTAGGCCATTTGGCCCTTTAAGCCTACTCTCCCATTCAGTACGATCGAAATTGATCATTTATCTCAACGCTGTATTCCTGCTTTCACCCCAGACATCTCGACGCTTTTAATATGAAAAGTTATTCGTCTCTTTCTTGAATAT